ATTATTTGAAATTTGAAATACGAATGTATATTTTTACTTTGCAGTCAAGCAAAACAGGAAAACTAACAAAAACAATCTTCTTTTAAATCCAATGGCGTGGTCAATAATTTCAAAACTTCCGTAACTTTTATGGGTTGTAATAAACAATGATTGAGGTTGTTGACAAATTTCTGGCCATTAGTCCTTGGAATAATTTGTAACTGCTGTGACTTTCAGCTGACTGCAGCTGCTGTACTCCATGATAATGAAGCTACAATGTTTTCAGGGCCACCTTTGAAGTGTCTAGGCAGTGAAGATTTGACAATCAAATGGTAGATATTCAGTGTTTTTTCTTTTAAACTGTGTGAGTTAGATCCAACTTTTTTCAATTCAGATAATTCCAATACTTCAACTCAGGGTTTCTGACAATACTGAGTGCTGATCTGCTCTCCCCCCCCCCCATTTAAAATCTGTATACCTCACTGTGTAGAACACAGATCTGTATTGGGTCGACACATCCCTAGGCACAGTCACAGTGCCATAAATAAAGCTGCATGCTGAGTTCATCCTCTGCTGACTCACCCATCCTCCTTGGGTCTGGATCCATGGATTGATGTGCTCATCCAGGTACGTGGTCATCCAGTCTGTGATGCGGGAAACCAGCTCGCTCATATCCTTCTCTACACATTCCACGCACAGCACACCGCCAAAGGCAAACAGGCCCACTACACGTCCCCAGTTGACTCCATCCTTGAACACCTCGTCCATCACGCTCTTAAAGCTGTGGTAGGCTGTGTCAGGAGTGATGTCTAGCTGCGAGGAAAGGTCACTAAATGATTGCGTGAAAAGCAGTTCAAACTCATCTGCTGAGTCCCGCAGAGCTGCCTTTACAGCTTCTATGTCACCATGCAGGGGTGATGACATCCCCGGCTGGCTGCCCCCATTCCTGCTGTTGACCAGCAAGCCGTTACTGGCAGCTGAGCTGGCCTTGTCTTGCTCAGTCCTTCCTTCAGCACCCTCTGGCCTCAGTAGAGAGGTCGGGTGGTTCCTCTGAGACAGCTTGTAGCTTACAAAGAACTCCACCAGCTCTCTGTTACTGTACGACATTATTTCCACACTGTGAACCCCCAACACACAGCCAGCCTAATCAGATCCCATGGTTTCTCCTGCCATTCCTCTCTGTCAGCTGTCACATCAGAGCTTCTTCTTCTTCTTATGTTGCAGCTAGCAGTAGCAGGCTGGAAGCACACAGAGAGGGGTGAGAAGAAGTTGCATCAATTCCTGTAAGCCATTAGTTTCTGTATGGAAATCTATCAGGAGACACTTGAAACTTGAGTTGTGAAAACCATCACAGAGAACATCAAGACTGTGAGTTACATTGTCACTGCTGGGCATTTCAGTTTAAAGAGGGACACCACCTAAATTTAGATTAACAAGGTTCAATCATGACCTCCTATCTCTCAAAGCCAGAAACCAGAGAGGTAAGCACAAACTTGTCAATAACGGTGCCTACAGATATAACAAAGTTAAATTTAAATTAATAACACCTTATATGAAACTTGAGACCAAACCTGCAAGGAAATACACATCGTGTGTGTGTGCGTGTGTGTGTGTGTGTGTGTGAGACACATGAGTAAGTACTCTGAACAATAAGGAAAAATTTGCATGAGTTAAATTTAACGTGTTTAATGTAAAACAAAAACAATCTCATCGCTGTTATAAATGCTATTTGTTATTGTAATTCTTCAGTCTGTCCAATGATTGTAAACAGTCATTGGGTCTGTCAGGCTGGAAAAATTTCGTGGTAATGCGACCGCAAATATTTAAGACACATCGACTCTGAATTTAAGACAATCTAATCTTAGATATTTTAAGACTTTTTAAGGACCTGTACACAACCTGATAAAGTCTGGAGCTGCTCCATGGACAATTAATGGGAGCCTGATTTTGTTTACCCACAAATTTTTTTGTTTCCTTTTTTTATACCCTGATGATCTTTATTCAATTGTAGTGATCGCATTTGTGAAATAGAAAATGTATCCATATACTCAGAACTCAGCACATTCCCCTGGCTGCTCAGTGTCATCTGTAAAATATGAACCAATTCATTGCTTTTGGAGCAGCTCTAGACTTTATACTTGATGACATCACATCTTTGAGTTTTAGCACTCTAGTTTTTGGATTTGGGAGAAAGCTGATGATGTTGACGATATTTTTGGACTGTCTTAGATGATAGGAATACCATGTATGGACTTTTAAAATGGGCGTAGCTCCTCTTTAATTTTATGTTAATTTGAAGCATCTGCACTGCATTAGTACACAATAACAGTGTGTAAGATGTTCACCTCACGTTTTAGCATTCTGCTGATAGATTTTATTGTACAGAAACGAATATAAACTGATGGATAGCTGGAATGTGAAGAATAATACTGTGACGTTAGCAAACATTTGAAAATAAGCACGAGCTAGCAAACATTAGCTAAAAAGCAGCCTCACGAGCTCAGTATATTAAACTCCAGCGGCATTAAATCATTACGATGTATATGATGCCAAATATGTGCGTCCAGATGCCATCCTGCCACCGCTGACAGCTCTAACTACAAGTCACGTAGATACTACCAGTTTTAGCTTCATATGCTAACTAGCTGTTTATAAACAGTCCACAGGAGACGCTTCAAAACCAACTGAAAACTACACCCGTGGGACGGAAATGAGGTAATAATTATTGACAGTTATACTTACAGCTGCTAAAAGGTTGTTTCCCCTTTCAGAGGGCAGCTACGGAGTTACTAAAAGCTGTAGTTGTGAATGCAGACACAATATGGACATCTTTGCAGCTGCACTCTGTGGCCTGGACCGTGATGCACGCTGGCGTTTGGCCAATTCTGCTACTGTACCAGCCAGAAGTCCCGCCCCCTCCTGCTGCTGCACCAATCAACGTCAGAGACAGACCGGAAATTAAGGGGCCCGTGAAATGAAAGCAAATTCATTGGAAAAGCACGTTTGAGGGTGGTCTGGTATTGTAGGGTCCTAGTCTGGAGGTACTAAGTTTGAAACATTAATCATACTTTTAAGGAGAAATTGTTAACTAATTTGACTAAAGCCAAATGATAACATTCGGTATACCTTCCCTAATTATGTATTTAATTTAATAGATGGAGTTCATTTTCTACTAAAATATAATAACAACATAAATAAGTCACCTGTAAAGTTAGCCAAATTACACAAACAAGCTATGCTGGCCTGGAAAAAGTCTTACAAATATAATTTTTCAACGGCTAATTATTTCATTTGGAACAATAAGAATGTTCAACATTAAAAAATGTCTTAATTATGTGAAATAGGTTCACAATGGCATTGTGTTGGTGAGACAACTTCTTAATACTGAGGGGGAGATAGGCGAGACAAGACAAATTTATATAGCACATTTCATACCCAAAGGCAACCCAAATTGCTTTGCAGATTAGTCAAGTCAAAATTCATTGTATACCAATCACAAATCATGCCTCAAAGGGCTGTACAAACTGTAATTTCAATTCAATTTCAGTTTCATTTTTATCTCTTAAGTCCAATATCATATACTGACATATACTGAATTCTTCTCCAAATTAAGCTTAGCAGTTTCTCCCAAGGAATATGTAATAGTTTTTGATGCATTGCCAAGGGGGGTGCTACAGCTTTTGAGAGGTTCATTAATCAAGGATTCAATCACTGACACACCTAATAGATGTATGTTCATCAGAGAAGTTGATGTGTTCAATTAAACACACTCTTGGGCTTCAATTTATGATGAAATTAATTGGCAGAAAGTCTGGCTAGTTGGGGACAAGTACTGTCTTGACAACAAAGTTAAAGAGGTTTCCTTTAAAATCTTGCATCGAATGTATCTGGCAAAAAAGACAGAGATTTGGTCTTAATATTGAATATTCTTGTATTTTCTGTGAATTAGAAGAAACAATCTGCCATTTGTTTTATCACTGTATGTATACCAGAATACTTTGTGTGAATATTCAACTTTATAAGAAGAAAAACTGGCTAAGCAATTCAATTGCAGGATGAAGACATTTTCATGTGTTCTGAAAGTAATCCGGTGGAAAAAGATATACATATATTATCTGGACAATCATTTTTATTATTGGGAAAATTCCACAATGACAAGAAGTGGGCAGACTCCAAACCAGATTCTGAACTTAACTATCAAATCTACAACAATATGGCACCGCAAAAAGAGGGCTTCAGAATAAAAAGGCAATAAAAATGAACTATGAAACAATGAGACAGTATTCTGGATTTACAGACTATCACTTTTTCATCTTTTTCTTTCCCTTACTTTTTTGACTTTGTATGTGCCCCAGTATGGATCATTCTGTGTGTATATGATGATAATGTATTTATGTTTGTTCACTGAAGATCTAAAAAGTCTGTTTTAGGTAAATTTCACATTCACAAATCAACATGGACTTTCTCCAAAACTGCCTGCATCATTTGTTTTCATACTAAAAAATATGGCATCTTAATTTATGATGTAGAAAAAGCTAAGATGTTTTATTTTACTTGAAAATGAACTCAATGGGGTCCCCTCGCTTGTAAAATGTTTGCGGTGTTTTAGCTATTGCTGTACCTCTTGTATATAAAGCTTATTTTAGGCATCTGTACTTGTTTTTAACAGTTTACTGCTTACTGTGGTGAATAAAAAATTCCCTAATGTATATCCAATAGCTGATGCCTTCCACTTAACTATTACAAAAGCATATACCTGCAGATTTGTTTTTAAATTTCTCTCCCTCTAATTGCACCTTACAAAGTTATACAACTAAAAAAAATACATTTTAGGCATATCTTCCATTACGTTCCTGTTAAGATTAGGCATCAGTTACATAAACCTTCCTTCCAACCAATTTTGCTTCTCTTAAAGCTTCATCATGTTCTGTACATAATGTTTTTAAAATGGCTGTTTTCTCAAGACCTGGCACTAAATATAATTGTGAGAGTGTTTGGTGTAGGGAAAAAAAATCAAAACGTTTTTATTTAACAAACATATTTATTAAAACATGTACATAAGCAGTTAGCATATCCTACACGTTCTAAATGTGAAATGACAATATGATACAGTTTTTTGTCACAGTAGAGGGAAAAAAACCTATGAAGGTGGGGAAGCTTCCATATTCATTTCATAAATCCTGTGACAGTTAAAAGGTGAATAACACAGATTGTATGAAGAAACTAACAAAGAACAATGGCTAAATATATACAATGTCACTTACATACGCCATATATTTATGCGCTATGATGTAACTTTTTTTTTCTTCTTTCCAACACTGGTAACAAGGTTAACACCTGGAATTGAAGAATTTAGTCACCCATGCCATTTGACCAAATATTTGTGATTTGTAACCATCTGTAGGCCTGTGTTTTTTTTTCTTCCTTGTCATAATTTATACACCGTTTCTCAACCAAGGCACACTGCTAAGCAGGGACACTAACAGAGAGTCATGCAAGCGTTTGCGTTCCCATCTTGCAAAGGGCTCTCCTCTTTAGAGGGCTCGTCCGTGTTCAAAGGTTCTGGCTCTTCTGTCAGGTTTACTGTTTCCACAGATTTTACATTCTCGTCTTGGTTTGTGTCAACATTTCCATTCTCGTTTGGTCTTTCCTCTATTTCTGGCTCACTGTCTGAATCAATGGAAATTGTCTCTGTGCATGTACTGAGTTTTAAGGTACAGTTTAGTGTCTCAACCTGCTTGTTTTGGTCTGTGCTTGGAGTACCAGACTTAAAGCCTACAGATCTCCCCACTAAGGTGCCAACAGGCTTGCTCTCCTCAAAGATCAAGTCATGCTTAACTTTCTTCAGAGCGTGCATGTCAAAGCCAAGCAGGACGGACACCTTCTTGGTCTCACACTGTCTCTCACACGCCCTTCTCTTGGTTGCAAAGTGACTAGCAATGTCAGATTTCCAAAGCCACAAACTTGCAGATAGCTTATCCTCTTCCTGAGGAGAGAGGTATGGTCGCCGGTTGAAGTAGGCAGTCAAGAAATTTTTCCTGGCTTCATACGTCTTGTGTTCATAGCTTCTAGGATCCAGAGCGAGGCCATCGGATTCAGACTGATTTCCAACGGTTGTCGAGGAAATCTTTGAGTCCTTGCTCAGCTTTAATCTCTTGGGGTTGGACATGGCCTGTGTTGGTGGCTGCCTCTTTAAGAAGCCAGCCCCGGATGAGTTGAGGGTCAGGGGAGACTTGAAGCCTTGGCTTGCCTGGTTCCTACCAACAGCCCTGCACTGCACAAGATGCAGTGTGATTGTAGACGCAACCATGTTACTGGTGTACACTCCCAGGCAATGAATGCACTTGTATGTCATCTTTTTTTCAACAGGATGCATTGTTTGGAGCACTTGGTGTCGCTCCCTCAGATGCATGGCTAAAGCATCAGAGATGGGACCTTTGAGGATGGTGAAACACAGTGGACACAGAGTCTTCCCAACCTCAGTCTTGTTAGCCTGAGAGGGGTAACTTCTAGCAAGTGGTTCACTTTTCTTTTCAATCATTCTGGGAGCGGTTAGTTTGACCAGAGGTGGAACACTATTCTGAGCAGCAGCTGACTGATCTTGACCATTGACAGATTCCTTCATGTTAAAAGTGAGTACAACGAGTTGTACATTTCTGGACTTGTCTTGTTTAACGGTGAGATCAAAGGTCAGAGGTGATGCACCAGGGGGTCCAACAAAGTCAGCAGGATGAGCCTGAGCCACATGCTCTATCAGCTTCTCGACATTGTGGAAAGCAGCATGGCACTGTGGACAAGTGAGCCCATGGATTAGCATGTGGTTTAGCAGTGTATCACTGGGCAGATAGCGGTTGCAAAGCAAACACTTGCTAGTGAAGTTGTGGATTTTCATGATGTACTTGGCAAGTGCCCACACTTTCTTTGCCTTGTGTGCGTTCTCAAAATGAGCATTGTAGAGGTTTTCAGGAAAGAGCTCGTTGCAAACTGTGCATATCTTCCACTTCTGTGTCTGTGCTGTGTTAACGCCACCAGCATTATTTTCAGCCACAGTGCTGTTGCCAGGAACTGTGACATGCACCTGACTGGCTGTGATGGAGGACTGACTTTTAACACTAGGGGGCGCTGGCTTTAAATAGCCAATTACTGGTTGCGCTATTTGGTCAGCTCTGAGTGTGTGGCCCCTGCTAATCATCAGAGGGGCCTTCTGAGGAGCAGCTGGCAAGGACTGAGGCCTTGAAACAACAATATTAGCATGTCCAATCATGGTGGTTACTTGAGCACCAATGCGCTCATGGTACTCTATAACATGCTGTACTAGAGCCTCATAGCTACGAGTGGAAAACTGGCAGCGTTTACAGAGGATGTTGTTGCCATTGACAGAATTAGCACCATTTTTGACAGACGATTCGGAAACCATACCAAGATATGGTGAGACAATATGCTGAAAATGTTCCCTGTAAATGTGTCTTCTCACAACATTGTAGAGCGTGTCCCGAAACGTGCATTTTTTGCAAAAGTACATTGCTTTCTCCACACCATCTCCCTGTCTGACTCTATCAAAGTACGCTTTGTCCTTCTTTCCCAATGCCGCTGCCTGTGAGTTCCCATAATTCTGCCGTGCTGAACTGGGTATGTGGAATATTTTAACATGCGTCTCCAAAGTTCTCTTGCTTGCAGTGAACGTGCAGTATGGACAGTTGAGCAGAATTTTACTCTCAAAGATTTTCCTGTGTACATTGCGGAAGTGATTCTTGTAGCCTGAGTAGTATTTGGAAGAAAATGGGCACTCTGTGCAGCAAAATGGCTTCGATCTGTATTCCTAAAAGACATCAAGGAAAAAACAATGGCATTAAGCCAAATATGGTGATTTGTGCATATGCATTCGCAAAAGGCCTTGGGCACAGAAATAAAATTTACCTGTGTTTTAGAGGATGATGGATCCCATCCGCAGATATCAAGGCAAAGACTGCCCTTTACAAATTGTTCATCGGGGCAAAACTCTTTGAACTCCTGTGGGCAGATGTGAAAAGACTGAGGCATATTTGTAATGATACACAATCATACAAAGGTGTCTAAAAAAATATTTTGTTTTGAACAAAGCATAATGTGTGTTAAATTACAAGCAATGAGAATTACGTACTGTTCACTTATTTTGCGATACTTAAGTTATTGTGTGGAAGTGTGGGCCAACACAAACATTAGTAACATGAAGCCATTGGTCATATTTCAGAAAGAGGAGTAAGAATTACTTATAAAGTGGATCCAAGAGAACACACTAATAGACTATTTATTAAGTTGGGGCTATTGAAGCTTTAAGATTTAGTTGAGTTACAGACACTTAGTTATGTATAGGGCAAAAAGCAGAGTATTACTAGAAAATTTGTAATTATTACAGAAGATGAGGAGCATCAAAAGAAATTTCCCTCTAACCCTTTGAAACCTGAGCAAACTTTCTTTCTTTTAAAAACATGGGAAGAAGGCAATGAGCAACATAAGAAAAAGAGAATGTTAAAAAACAAGAAAATGAGTTGTGCAATTTGTGTGATAGTTCTTACCAAGATGCTCATTGCCTTTTTTCCCCATGTTTTTGAAAGATATTGCACCAATTTGCTCAGAGTTCCAAGGTTTGAATACGTGTGAAAGGTGTCTGAGCGCAGCACAAGAAAATTGATATCGCTCCAGGTTTCCAAGGGTTAAGCACCACACAGACTACATTAAAGCAGATGCATACTTCAGTGGTTAGGGTCAAACTATGGAATTCTCCACAGAATGATTTAAAGGGCTGTTTTAATTTTTTTTTGTTCAAGAATATGTATAAAGAAAGAGTAGTTAGACTATACTGAAGCTGTCAGGTACAATCTGTCCCTTTGGTTAAAGTGTCTTACTGTGTGTGTCTCTCGATTCTTATTATTTATCTTTTTCTTTCTTAAGTTACTGTAAGTTTTGGCTGTTAAGTAAATGTATTTGACTGACCGTCTATATCTTGTGATTGTTTATGTCTATTAGAGTTGTTAAAGCACAATACTAGTATGGCCACACTGGCTTTGGACAAATTCTGCTGAGTTTGCATATATTTACCCTGCCTTTAATTTCTTTCACATATTTTCTGAATAGATATTAAAGAATGTCACAGAGATACACTCCTAACACTATGTTTTGAAGCATGAATGAATGTTAGCGCTAAACATCCATGGTAAGCCATGATTCTCAGTCTAACTTGGAGCTTTTACTCACATGAAACTAGAGCACACTCACCTCTGCTGCCTCCTTGCAGAACTCCAGTCCAATGTCTCCAAGTGCTTTCTTCACTTGCTTCCTGGCCCTCCTGATTCTTGTAAGGTTATTAACTGGAAGTTGATACATGTCTCCTGACAAACAGAAAATAAATGGTTTATTAGTCTGAGAAAGTCTTAATTTTAAGACAAATCACAGAAAGCAAAGTATTCAATATGTTTTATAATTAAACACTGTGGTTCAATCACTAACCACTAACACAGTAAAAAAAAAAAGACTTCAGGTGACACGCCCTTTCAACACTTGTGTCCAATCAATAGATCACTGGCAACATATTTACTTGTGATGGCAGGGTCACGTTATCTTTTTTCAACACTTCAGCGTCTTCAGGGGCCCAGCACTGTTTCTGAGAGCATGCTTTAAGTTAGCTTTCATCACTGACTAAGAGCTGGTTTGATCAGACGAACTGAGACACAGCAGATCTGTGACCTGTCTTTATACGCTATATCCAGTGATTTGGGGGAAATTAACAATACACGTTGTTAGTTTTGTGAGCTGCTAGCCAACATTAGCCGTGTTACCCGCTCATATCAGCTTGGTTACCTAACGTTACTTAGCCAGCACCAAAGCTAGCGTTGCATAGCCGGTTAGCGTTATTTATTTCTTCATTTTCACTGACGAATTCAGTCGACGCGTTGCACTCACCTTGTGATACGTCTGAGGACTTGCTTTACACGGGTCGTCTCACAACATAAATGGCGAACAAAGAAGTTAAAGCGGCTGGTCGGGATGTGCAGATTGGCAGTGGTGTGTTCGCTCTCCTCAGAGCCGGTGCTGATGCTCAGCTCCACAGCTAGCCAACCAAGCTAGCTGGTTAGCAGTCACATCTGCTCTGCAGCAGCTCCCGGCTAGCTGGAGGGACGAAAGGCGGGACAGGGTGGTGCACATCTAATGAAAACAGTACACTCCAAAAACTATTGACTACCAGGACTCCTCTTGGTAATTCTTGTACTTGCACTGGTGGCCGGGACAGCCTGTTAGCTACCGCTATCTGCTCTAAGTGAGCCAACTCTCAATCCAAAATGGCGACGACAAAAAGACGGAAGTCGTAGCAGGGTGCTGGGCAGAGGCTGGATGGCCAAAAGTTAGTATTCATTGTGGTCGTATTAATGCAATGTTTTATTTTCAGTCACAAAAAGATGGCATTTGTTGCTCATGACTGCAGGTTAATGAAAACACAACACCCTTTGTACTGTAGTTATCCTGTTCTTGCTGCCACCCAGGTAACCATTTTCATTGATTGATTTTGTTCCCCCCAGAAATCAGCACATGTACCCTGCCTATACCAGTCTATAATTTAATAAACAAATACATTCACAGTATTATAATACAGTTCCAGCAAATGTAGTTGCATCTGAAACAAGAGCCAAAGACTTTAAGACACCCAGAGGAAAGGAAAATTCATAATAAGATCTTGTCCTTGTCCAGCTTGTTTCTCCCAGACATAGTCTAACTGAGCTCGATATAACATCAATGTGAGATTTTGACCATTTTCCCTCATACTTCCTAAATTCAGCTCCTGAGATGTAACCTCTAACCTAATCCTGATTTGAGACGGTAAAATGCTCATTTTCCTCTTTCGCTGTAATAATCATTGTCTGAAATAATCGGCCAATGAGATAACAAGAAAAAGAAAGAAAGAAATTTTGATTGACTTATGAATAAGTGTGCACAATTTCAGAAATTTGTCTCAGTGATCAAATCCAAGTCTCAACTGTATGCCTTATCTTTTCTCAGAGCGGAAAAACCTCTAGAATCCTATGAGCACAGCAAAAGAAGTAATCTGATTTATTAGGCCTATTTTGCACCTTATTTCGTCAGGGTAGAAACAGATCAGAATTTTGTCATCTCAAAATAAGCAAATAAGAGGCAGATTTATTTCTGATGAGACAAAGAAAAGACCACTGTAAGCAGCCAAATTTTCCTCTCGGCACAGACATCAAGATAGTTGTTGTCATTCCAGTGGTTCCATAACTTCCAGTACAACAATGCGGGGCCCTGTCATCACCAGTCTTGAGACTGTCTTGTAGTTCATGTAGAGAACGCACTGTCCGTTCACCTGGCACACAAACTGCCGCACCTAAAGAAGATGATGTGAAGCACATGGGTTTGCTTTTTGTCTCAGAGTCAAATATGTGCTGTTTTCAGACTCCTTTGAGGTTACTGTTTTCTCTGTCAGTGCCATCATGAATGTAACGTATATACCTTGACTCCAGCAGATGCTGCAGGGCTTCCGGGGTCAACAGCCTGCACATAACAGGGAGCCATGCCTCTGACAACAAACCCCCAGCCTAGGGCATCTCCTATCACCTGATGGAAGGAGGGTGAGATAAATTACACATTAATTCTTTAGGAATTAAATGGAATCTATGTGGTTTATTCTTGGTGAGATGCAGCTTCATTAGTTCATGTGGAAAATAATCTCTCCAGGAATGTGTTGTCTTGTTTCTAATGTAAGTTGTGAAGGGGTAATGCTTTAATTATCCACTGTTTGACTTTGGAGGACTATTCAGATTATACAGAATGAATGCTGTTAAAATCCTGGTGGTACCGTAATTGTTAGCTCTTAAATAGCCATGATTTAGCCATGACAGTAACTCACCGTCAACACTTTCTTGATGAAAGGTGCACCAGGTGCCAATATCTCTTCACATGTAAAATGTCTTCTAAGCACTGTAAAAGTATTAAAACATTTCAAAAGTCACCATTTTCCAATTTTGGATCTTGATATACCAGGCATCTTGAAACATTTGATGAATATTAATTACACACTTGCCTGATTTGGGATTGTATCTCACCACTGAAGTTGAAGACAGCTGGACAAGAGGTGCAAATCCAGCAGAGTGAAGCTGAAGGGAATTCAAGCTGCCTCGACGTCCACTGGTAGCCTGTTTTACATCTTTACCTGACCCCGCTGCGATTGAATTAGTAGTAAAATCATGATGTGATAATCAGGATTCACAGAAGAAGTGTGTAAAGGGCAAAAAGGATGGAGAGTTATTTTTTACCAGAATGGAAAGCACTGTTGCCCTCCTGGGGTGGGTTTTTGTGCAGAGCAAATGGACTATCATGATGGTTGTCCTCTGGTGTCGACACAGCCACACCTTCGTCATCGTTTCGTTCACTTTCATTTACCAGTTCAGATAGGCGGCGTCTGCGGCGAAAATTGATGCAGAACTGATAGAGCAGTCCACTGTCAAAAAAATCATGCTTCTTTGCCGCTAGTGATGGGATTGGGAGAGAGAGCACAAAACAACGCGTTATAGATTTAATGGTATTTTCACAAAAAGTTGATGGGTGTTATTTGCTTTAGATTGCAAAAGTCCCAGCTGGCCACCCACTGCCAGCAGCTGCTGACAGCCCGCTTACTCCTGGTGCTGTACATCAAAGGGCAAACGAGGACTCCCCTCACCGTGTTGAATGATGCCATGCTCCTGCAATGCGCGACACAGCTCCAGTCCCCGACGCCGGCTCTCTGCCTCTCCGTTCTGAAGGAGCCAGTCAATCAACTGGCAGCCAGGAAAGGAGCGCTGATATGCAACACCATGCTCCTCTCTTAGCTGCAGAATGGAGTTCTTGTCCGCTATGAGACTATAACAGACACAAAAACACTGATCTGATGTGTCCTAACCTGCAAATTACTTTTGAAAAGTGCTGGAAGGAGCTGTGACTGGATATTACTGTCTTGTTGTGTGTGGAATTTTAACCCCAGCTCATAAATCATATTGGTGCATATGAGATCACGACTGTAATAGCTGACTTCAAGGTCAAACAAGAGAAACACAGCACAAAACAAATAGCAGCTCTTACTGTTCATAGAGTTGCTGTCCTCGCATGAAGATTTTCACCTCTGTATTGAAGGGAAATGTTCCGTCATCCTTACGGAAACGGTACAGCAGTTTGGCATCCTTCAATACTGTCCTCTTATCACAGACTAAGAAAAGGCAACATAAAGTTTTGGATAAGCTAGTTGGTCTCTGAATGATGCTACAGTAACATTTTTATGCCTCCATGCCAGCAATAGCTGTGGTGGGTTGTCTGTCTGATTCTCGTGAACGTGATATCTCAAGAACGCCTGGAAGGAATTTCTTCAAATTTGGCACAATCGTCCGCTCGGACTCAACAATGAACTGATTAGATTTTGGTGGTCAAAGGTTAAAGGTCAAAGGTCACTGTGACCATGCTTCTCGCATTCTCGGGAACTAGGTACCTCAAGAACGTCTGTAGGGAATTTGCTTATATTTGGCACATCTTGGACTCAACAATGAACTGATCAGAATTTGATGGTTAAAGGTCAAGGCCACTGTGACCTTGCATCAGTCTCATTCTCATGAACATGATATCTCAAGAAAACTGTGAAGGAATTTCTTTAAATTTAGCACAAAGGTCCTCTTGGTCTCAAGGAGGAACTCAATAGATTTTGGTGGTCAAAAGTCACTGAGACCTCAAAAATGTGTTTTTGGCCATAGGTCAAGAATTCATATGCTTATTATGACACAATTTCACAGAAATGTCCAAGAGGGTTAAATAATGAAGTGATGACATAATGTTCTGCCATTATTTAATGCCATTACTCTGGAACAAAGACAGGAGACATTTGGTCGGACACTGAATTGGTGACACTAATCTTAGGTGTCCATCTTGAAACTGTGCTGATTGCATAGATCTTGAATGCTACTGGGTTGATGATGTGTGTGAAGCAACCATGTTTTAGAATATGTTGCTATTTTGCAGCAACATCCACATTTGAAAGATTGTCTACTGTCATGGCTACATGTGAGTCTGGACAAACATGGATGTAAACTGTAACCGCAACTTGACTGGTCCATGGAGACATACAACTGCCAGGCGGTAATCCTAGTTTTCATTTGTACAGGAGGTCTTCCAATATTCCCTTGCTGAAATGTGTGTTGTTGTTGCTTCCTTCTTACCGTGGTGAATGATGTCATGGTCCATGAGGTGCTGCATGAGGCAGACAGCTGTTGCTCGATCTGGAGCTTCCTTATGGCTCACAAGCCAGTCTATAAGTTCCTGTGCCACAAAGCAGTTGGGATATGTGCGCAGATGATAGCGTCGGTCCTTTATAAGTTTTCCATCATGAAGTCTCAACCTTGAAATGAGGTTCAAATTAGCCATATGTTTAACCTTAAACCTTGAATTTCCTATAAATCTGATCATAGATATTTATTATGTTCCCCTGCTCTCTCTTTCTCTTCATACCTGAGTTGTTCTCCAGCAATCATGACTTCTCCTTTATGTTGTCTGGCCATGGCTTTTCTCCTAACGCTACTTGTTCGCTCCATGTTTATTATCAGTGGACTGGAAGGTAAGTGAAGCTAACTCTTAGTTACAGCCCCTTGTGTTTACATAATAGTGATTGAAACACAGAGAACCCCAATTGCCATGAGGGAAAGATGTTATGTATACAGAAAGAAGACGTCGTACATTTCTGTCAGGTTGACACAGACATAATGCATCCACCAACAAAGAGTGGTCCTGTGTTTTTTCTCATCCTTTATTATGGCTGAAGCTATCACTAGTATTCTTGTTGGCTGTTCCGACAGTACATAGGACATCTCTCCAGTAGTCACATTTGTTCATAATTTGGCGAGAAGCAAGTGAATGCCTGTTGATATCCACATGATCAACTTTTGCTAATTGCCTTCATGGTGCTAATCTGCCAGCTACGGCCAGTTAAAGGATGTTGTGATGCAAGCTGTTTTCTTTTGTGACACAAAATAGACAAAACTCTGGGTGGCTATGGATGTTACAGCTTCCTAGAAGACACACCGTCATGTGTCAGCCTGGCTAAACTTGAATAAGGTCACATTTTAAAGGTCATCATGTGGTTGTCTGGCAACAGAAAACCAGAAAAACACACTAGTGACAGTGCTTGTCTTTTATTATATGTAGTTTCTGCATCAGTTTCATAATTGATGGCAGCACAGTACGTGTAAAGTGGGCCATGGGATGTGAAAGCATTTGTGCTTCCAGCCTCTCAGGCAGTAGATAAATCCT